GCATTGTAACTACAGTAAAGTGGCTAGAGTGTTTTGCTGAAAAGGAATGGATTACTCCTGAGCTTAAAGTTAAGCAGATGCTCAAGTATGTTGCTGAATTGAGGCCTTTAAATTGCACATTTCTAAAGCACTAAACAGCAGTATTGTCTGATGGACTATAAGCCTGATTCTCAGTTGCTGTTCTGACTATGTAAAGAGACACTGATGTAAATGAGAATCAGCTCCTACAAAATTTTAAAGCCAGCATATCAGAGTTAAACAAGTTTAATAAAATATGAGAAACAGTGCAAGCAGGTGGGCTGAATCCTGTAGCTACACAGAAACAGATCATAGGAAAAAAATCCTTCTATAGGTGAAGAATTGTAGGTTAAGAATATCAAGGATTTGGTATGTTCTTCATATTGACAGTGATGGAGCAGAGCTGTACTGCTATATTGAAACTGCAAAGTGAGAGGGATGTGGGAACAAAGTGCCTTTATTTGCAGAGTTGCAAGTCATATATCCCATGATCGAAAAGACTTTAGTTACAAAATGCTATGCTGGGGGGAAAGAATTAGTTAAATGTGGTTACTGAAGCGAAGTTATGCAAGTCAACTGGTTCCATTTGAATTGTTCCCTAAGAATAGGCATTAGTACTGTGGTGACACCTTTCAACTCTCGTAAACAAGTTCCTATGAGAAAAAGCCTTCAAACTTGTGGCTCTTTGCCCATTAGTTTTGGGATGAAAAACAAACCTGCAAGCTGCAACATCCTTCTCCAGTGTATTAATACTTGGAAGTTCAGTACATCTACATGAGCGTGTGACACCGGTCAAAGAGAAGTATTGAGCACTGAAGCCAAGAGCCATTTTTTCTCTTGGAGATTTCTCTAATTACTTTATTTGTGTTGTCTCTAGGCTTACAAGCAAGGAATCTTTTTTTATTTATGTGTTTATTTTATGGTGGTTCTGACCAGGAAATTTTTTCCAAGCTATCACAGCAGTAGTGGTCATGTAATTATAAACTGATGTGGGAAAATAGTCTTGGCACAGATTAAACTTTTGCAAAGTGATATGTCCTATTGGGAAATGCTACCAGGAGAAATTCAATTCAAGGATTTCAGCAACAGATACAAAGCTGGAGGTTGAGGGGGCGGGGGGAGAAATCTGCATTCTAACCTTATGGAAGGTGGACATTTTACAATTATTTTGCATAACAAATTAAAACTGCCAGTTAATACATAAATTTCTGTTCTAATAAAATACTATGGGTGGAATGTAAGTATTTCCAGTCAGGAATGAAGTTCAAGAAAGATCCAATGAATATGAGTTAGCATGATTTTTATAATTTTTTCTTCCGTATACTGAGCTTTCTACAATTAGACATGTCTTTATCAGTTTGAGACTAGTTGCAATATATTTTACATGGGACTACCCCTGTAGACTCTCAGAACCTTCAGCTACTGCAGACTACGGTAGCCTACTGGAGACTTTCACAGGAAGGACCTCATGTCTACCCATTGGCTCCCAACTTGTTCAGGGGTGAAATATGGTTTAGAAGCCCTATGGAGCTCTATAGGGTTTAAGGCCTGCCTACCTGAAAAAAACCATATCCTTTTCCTCATGCATTGCCACAGAATATGATATGTGCGGAAGTACTCACGCTAACAGACCTCGAGTTAAATGAGCTGTGGCTGGAGATAGGATGTTTCCTACGAGAGGTTCTCATCTCTGGAACAAATGTCCATCTTTGGTCCCATGGAGCCTGACACCCTTCATTTAAAGAAAATGCTACAAAAATGTTTATTTTCACAGGCTTCTGAGAAAGGGACAAGTAGAGGATGGTGTCAGTGAGGTAAAGGATGGGTGCTTGCCCAGGTAGGTTGGGTGGCTCCAGAAGTTTTTATTTTTATGTCTTCCACTGCTGCTTATGTCTATATATTAAATATATATACATGAGAATTTAGGTGTATCATCTAAAAGGAAATACATGAAAATAATCATATTTCATCCTTGGCTTTATGTTCCTGGTGAGATATGGGCCTGATTCTCCTTTAAGGGCCTGATTCTCCTCTCACACCAGTTTCATGCTGGCACTAATTGGCAACCATGATGCTATTTCAACAGAGATTCCAAAGACTGAGTCACAATGGAAGCTGAACTATATTCTGATCTTGAAGTCCTAGCCCAAATAACACTTTTTGATGGGTGCCTTAGAAAGACCTTAAGTGGACAGGCCCAGGAGCTTCCTCCAGTTCACTGATAGGACAGTAGGAAGAAACTTGTACTGCCACTGTGTATACTATGTCTGGTCACCCAGAGGGTTCTAGCTTTTAGTGCTGTATACATGACACCTCTCACACGTACTACACACACACACGAAGAAGAAGAAACAAATAAGGTATTGAGAACCTTAGCTATCTAGATGGTTTAGAGGAACACCTAAGTGCTTAAATGATAGTTTGGTTAATTTGAGAGAGACTGTCTGCTACTCTTCTCTCCTCTCTAGCCAATGTCAATTGCATATAAGTCTGTTCTGCTTCTCATTTTCATGGATGCCTCTTTCCACAGAGCACAGTAACAACCATTGGATGTAGCTAACTTTCAGCTACAGTTTTTAAGTAGTGTTTGGTTATATAAGGTTTGGCTCACGACGAAAGTAATAGGCTCATGTATTTGCAACTGCTAATACGAATTTATAAATGCTGATCAAGTGATCCAGGTGAGTCTGCCATGTTTATAAACACATGTTCTATGTCATTCATTTAACACAGCAAGTTTGATTACAATTATTTAGAGTCTGATGTTGCAGTCTCATCAAGCAAACCCTCAGTCCCTGGCTGCCCAATGATTTCAACAATCAAAACTCCCAAACTTTTCCTATAATTGCTGCTTTTTACTTTTTTACACATGTGAACATGTCATTTATTTTCTAAGGTATCTTCTCTGTCAGCAGTGTTAAATTAGGAGATATTGACAACGTGTACCGAGATAATAGTTTTGGTATTATTGAGTAGTTTCCTGCAATGCTTTGGGAAATCTAAACCAGGGCATTGTAGCCTTCTTGTTATGTCATTATGCTCATTAATAACCTGGAAAAGGGGGTGAACAGTGAAGTTTGCAGATGCTACAAAATTATTCAAGCTATTTAAGTTCAAAGCAGACAGCGAAGCGTTACACAAGGACCTCACAAAACTGGGTGACTGGGCAACAAAAGGGAAGATGAAATTCAACATTGATATGTGCAAAATAATGCACAGTGGAGAAAATAATCCCAACTATACATATGCAATGATGGGCTCTAAATTAGCTGTTATCACCCAGGAAAGAGATCTTGGGATCACCGTGGATAATTATAGGAAAATGTCAGCTCAATGCGCAGCAGCAGTCAAAAAGGCTAACGGTATATTAGGGCTAGTAGGAAATAGATAGAAAATAAGTCAGAAAATATCATAATGCCACTATATAACTCTATGATGTGTCCCCACTTTGAATATTATGGACAGTTCTGGTTGCCCCATCTCAAAAAATGTACAGTGGAACTGGAAAAGGTTCAGAGAAGGGCAACAAAGATTATCAAGGGTATGGAAAGGCTTCGGTTTTTCACCTTCCTCTGTAGCATGGGACACGGGTCACTTGCTGAAGGATTCTCTGCACCTTGAAGTCTTTAAACCATGATTTGAGGACTTCAATAGCTCAGACATAGGTGAGAGGTTTATTGCAGGAGTGGGTGGGTGAGATTCTGTGGCCTGAGTTGTGCAGGAGGTCAGACTAGATGATCATAATGGTCCCTTCTGACCTTAGTATCTATGAGTCTGTCTATGAGTTTAGGGCTGGGCAGCTTAGAAAAGAGATGACCAAGGAGGGATATGATAGAGGTCTAAAATCATGAATGGTGTGAACAGAGAAGTGTTATTTACCCTTTCTCACAATACAACAACCAGGGGTCACCTGATAAAATTAATAGGCAGCAGGTTTCATACAAACAAGAGGAAGTATTTTTTCATATAATGCACAACTAAGCTGTGGAACTCATTGCCATGGAATGTTGTGATGGCCAAAAGTATAACTGGTTTAAAAAAAGAACTGGATAAATTCATAGGTGATAGGTCCAGCAATGGCTATTAGCCGAGTTATGAAGGAAACACCACCAGGCTTGGGGAAACCCTAAACTAGAGCCCTGCATGGGGCTATTCCTTAATCCTGCTCCCACTCACACTTGCTATTATGGCAGTGGGTCCTGTGGAACTGCAGGTCTCTACACTTGTCCCATGTAGGTCTCTACCCTAAACCTCTATCAGAAGCTGGAAGTGGAAGACAGGAGTGGATCACTCCATAATTGCCATGGTCTGTACAATCCCCCTGAAGCTCTAGCATGGAGACAGGATATTGGGCAAGATGGACCACGGTGTGACCCAGTATGGTGGCTCATATTCTTATTCTAAACTGAAAGATAAGCAACTAGGCAGATTCTAGAGAAGGTTACCGAAAGATGAAATGGCATGCATTACAAAGGGAATGTGTATTTCTTCACACTGCGCTGAAAAACTGGTAGCTCCTCTGAAGACTTACAAATATGTGGATTTACTTTACAATCAGTGCCTTCTTTGTGGGTTTTTTTACATGACTATGAGTGAGTTGTGTAATTTGACTACAAGTACAATAGCCTATAGGCATAATAAAAAAAGCATCTGTATTCATTTTGCCACTTTAATGTTTGAAATGCATTGTGGCTTAACTGAAAATGAAGCTCAACATGTCTTTCTCAGCAGTCATGTGATTTACAGTTAGAATATCATGTGAATGGGCAATTAGGGAGAAACCCTGGTCCCTTTGAACTCCATTGCAAAATTCCTGTTAGCTAAAATGGGGTCCTTCATCCTTACGCAATTTCTGGTTCGGAAGTAACTCATGTATATTTTTCTGAGACTACAAATAACAAATTTGTTTGGTTTTTTGCCACCGTCTAATCATTTTTGCCAACTTGAAGTCTGTGTGTCTTCTGTTTGTGCTTAACTTGCAGGTGTGGACAGATTCAGTGAAGACATCCAACAAATGATGGGCTTCAAACCGGGCCTCTACTGGCGACTGTGTTGGAAATTTGTTAGCCCTGCTTTTTTATTGGTAAGGGGTGATTTATTTATTTATTTTGTCCTGGAAAGAACACTATGAGGATGCTTCCTACCAGCTTATTCATACTAAAAGCAAGATATTAAGCAAATTCATAACATTACTCATCAGGGCCTACACTACATGTTTTGTTGCCCAGGGCAGTTTTGATTTCCAGTGCTCTCCAAACAGCTGAGGAGAACAAAACAAATACTCTGCCCACCCAATTTGGATGCAGACACACATCCTGGATGTTAATTTGGCACCCTCAGAACCAGGTGTCCAGAGCAACTGCCCTGATTACTGGACCCTAAGGCTGGCTCTGTTACTCGCTGTTATCCCCAATGTTGTCAGCCAGGATAGCAGAAGCCATTTTGACTCGTTTTCACATTTGGAGAGGCTACATTTTGGGTGAAATTTGTCAGACAGGGGAAACAATGGGTAGTGGTCAAGACCACCTAATGCAGTTCCCCAAACTGGAGATAGTGGCTCTGCTTGGTAACCCACCAAACCCTCTGATGGTGGGAATGCTCTCCCTATCCGAAGACAGTGTGCGTGTGTGTGTGTGTTGAAGGAAGGAGCAGTACAGTCCTCAAATTCTTTTTTGCAGAAAGTGAACACCAGGTAGGAGGTAGAGGTTAACTGTATGGGATTTAAAGGCCATTTGGCCTGGAAGGGTCCTCAAGAGGTTCAACTAAACATTTTAATCTTTTGAGGTATCTCCATCATCAGATCTGTGTGTAGATCTATTGGCTCTATTGAAGTTGGCTTGGAGAACTGTGTGTGTGTGTGTTGGTAAGTGTTTATATTAATGCTGAGGTTTACATATTTCTCATTTTATTCTCCTCTGATCACTGTACAGACTATAAGGCTGATGAATCCTTGGTGTCTTGTTGGGTTATAGGTCAAGTTTATGTTCTGTCTTACCAAAAACAGTCATTATGCCCCCAGCTTCAAATTCACTTCCCTCATTTCAGTTGCCATGAATTCCATTTTAAAAGCACACCCCTCTTGGACTGACTTCCTTCTTGGGAACATGAATGGAAGGGGGAGGGAAGGAAGAGAAATCTAAAGTGTCAGGACCTGTCCTTCTGAAGAGAACTCCACTGGAGATGAAGTAAAGGCATAGACTACCCAGCTACCTGCATTATCTGACACAGAATATCAGCCCATGGCTGTATTGCAGGCAGATCATCCTCTTGTACAGTACAACTAAAGTTCCTGGTTGTTCAAGTCCTCAACTCCTTGGTCCTCTAGAGTCAGAAATTCTACTGCAACAGGATATGGGCTCCTACCTGTTCCCACTTATTTACAGGTTAATGCAAGCAAGCATGTATACATAAATGAGTTTCAGTTTGTGATTCAAAAAGTGACCAAGCTGTAGTAACCTGCCAAATCACTTTTGACCAGTGTCTTTCAAGGCTACCCCACACCAAGCATGGGGATCTCAATACTTATATTTAAGAATCCTTGTCCCTCAGAATCCAGACAGCATAAAAGAGATTCAGGCTGTGTGTAAACTACAAATTACTGTGGTATACTTTGTCACTCAGGGGTGTGAATAATCCACACCCCTGAGCGACATAAGTTATACCAACCTAAGCGCCGGCATAGACAGCACTATGTCAGCAGGAGAGCTACCACCTCTCATGGAGGCAGGAGTTACTAAGCCGTGGGAAAGCTCTTCACCGATCGGCCTAGAGCGTCTTCACCGGAAGTGCTAGACCTGCGCAGCTGCATTGATGCAGCTGTGCTGCTGCCAATGATGTGGTGTAGACATAGCCTCAGTTTCCCCTTGTCAGGGGTTTTTATCCCCTCTACTCCAGAGTCCAAAACTGGTGGGTTGAGTTCATGCGTAGGTCTCTCCTTCCTGGAGGGAGTTAGGAATGCAGTCAACACAGCCTCTGTCCTTTGATGCTACACAATGCCTCATTTGCCTTCAGTGGGCCATCTGATTGTATTCAGGATGAGCACTTTCCCTTAATTAAAGCTTCTTTTCCTGTTCGGTGAGTTACACAATTACAGAGGTTTACAATGCAAACACTCAATATAACTTTATACCACGGGCTATAGAGGTTATAAGTGAGATCAGTAATGCAGCGTCCTACAAGCATTATATAAAGTCTAAACACTAAACACATTCTTATCAACTTAACATCTAATATCTATTCTGATGATGCTAACACACAGGTAAGCAAGGCTGGTTTCCAACTATGCATTTGTTAGTGTTCAGTAAGGTCTGGGGCCTTGGCATGTGTTGCACTTGGTCTGCTTTCATCACACCATGGTACATTTCCTCCTCCTTTTGACCAGTTGTGCCTCTGGAAGCATGTTTGATATGAGGGTAAGAGTATCCATGGGGGCTTTTTCCCCTTCCTGTCTCCTCTCTGTAAGCCCAAGATGGTAGTTGTCCTAGTACTTTTGTACAAAATTTTGAATATGTAAAATGACAGCTTCAAATTTGTAAGTGTTAAATGCAAACCGATCTGTATTATGTTTTGGGCATTTGCAGTTTCAGGGAAGTTCAATTCTGAGGACCTAAAAACTACACAAAATGACTAGTGAAAACCAGAGAGAGAAACTTCATAGAAGAAATGTCACCAGTTTTGTCCAATTTTGATAAAACCATTAGCTGAGATAATACTTTGTACATATTATGCATCACTTTCCATTCAAAGATCTCAATGTTCTTTACACATAACTATATAAGGCTCCCACAACACCCTTGACACAAGTACATATTATCTTTGTTATCCGGATAGAGACAAGGAGGCAGAGAGTGTTTATATCACATCCCCTGGATCTCAGAGAATGTCTGTGATAAAACCGGGAAGAGAACCAAAATCTCCTGACTCCCATTCCCTGTTTTTTAACCACAATATCTTTCATTTAAAGGTGAAATTGCTACTCTTAATCAGTCTGATTGAAACTAACGTTACCAAAGAGGTCAGAGATGTTACCAAAACAAAACCAAAAAAAGCTAACGCTAACTATACTCAGTTACTGGATATTAAAGAAAATCCTGCATGTACTGTCTGGAAGGAATTATATGATTATAGATGGAAACTGAATCCAATCTACTTTGTGTATTCTGGATCCTCTGCCCATCACTGGCTGTGGTTCTGTGCTTCCACTTCAAGGATAAATATGTCTCATTATGACTTCACTGATGCCCAGCAGATGTCAAACATATTGGTTTAAAAAATAACCAAAAGAACAACCTTTTCCTCCCCAAAAAGAAATCTATAGGGTAATCAGGTACATGATTCCAGATGTTGCCAGTTATACAGAATTGCAGATTGCCCTCCATAAGGAACCAAACATAGGAATTGCCATACCGGATCAAACCAGGGTCCATCTAGCATCTAGTCCAATATTCTCTTTCTAACCACAGTCAATATCAGATGCTTCAATGGAAGATGTAAAATCCCTGAAATACAATTTTGCAATAACTTGTCCAAGGGGAGAAATGTTTTTCTCATAGCTATTGGGGCTTCGGTGTTTATCTTTTGATGAGTAACACCCCTGACTATAACTGAGTTTAGCTTTTGATAGGCAAATGCTTGGTGCAAAATGTGAAACATAACTGGTAAAAGCAGTATCCAATATGTTTCCTATTGATACTTCATTGATGAAGTTCAAAAGTATAATACACACAGTGCAAAGGGAAACTATTTAATGATTATACCACTGAAACTATCATGTTTGTAACATTCAGAGCAAAATGTACAAATGCTGTCTTCCAATCGACTTAATCTCAACACAAATAACATGCTGCCAATTCAGGGCCAGCCCCAAAATGTAAAATAAATAACTCAATATGGAGTGGTGATGTTTATACCTAATGTTTTAGGCAAATCAAAATATTTGGGGGAAGGAAGGGGTTATTCAGTTCTAAATTTCACTCAGCCATCATTAAACAAATGTGTGTCAACTAAGCACATAACTTCTTGAGGCGTTACCATTTATGTATGTGCTTTGTTTTTGAATAGTAAAATCACAACAATATGCACAAGACTGTGACTACATATAAAATTTTTACAACTATTTGTTATATATGTACTATAGAACATAATTCAGTTATTAGTGTATTTTTTATTTGGAGGGTATGAAGATCACAAATGTGGACTAATGTATTAGAATATGGAGGGTGCAATTACTCCAAATGGTTAGCTGTGTGACATAGAGAGGAAAGAGACACATTAAATATAGCTTGTAAGCCTTCTGACGTGTATTAAGGAAAATAAACAGATGTTTCATTACATTTGAGGATTTTTTCTCCCTGAAATGTGAAGGTAGCATTTGGTAGTTTTATGTAAAGGTTAGAGTCAAAACTAAAGACTGCAGTTTTATATTGGGTATTTATACATTCACTCCAGTTTATTTGTAGATCAAAAGGTCATGGTGAATATATGGAGATTTTGACATCACTGTGACCTAGGATATTTTCCGTTGCATTAAAGTTTATGCTTTCAATTTCAAATTTAAAGCAGTAGTGATCTGCCATATAGCTACATCAAATCTGGATCCGATATTGTCTCAAAGTTCAAAATTAGCTATCAAACTGTTAATGACACAAGACATTCTTATCAAGACATATTTATGATGGGATACACAGATACATTTTTAAAAAGGAAAACATTTTAATAGCATACCTAGCATCTGGTAGCATCCAATCAGTAATGAGCCAATGAAGCATACACTGAAGTCAGTCAGTTGTACTTTATATTAATGTTCCATTTGTAGGTGTTCTATAGAAGGTTAATAAATTATCAAAAGATGTTATAAATATGTTACAGACATGAAGACTGTATGTTGAAGATAATTATAACCACATCAGTAGAAGGTATATAGAGATAGTTATAAATCATTATTATATAAACAACCTGTTGACCTGTTAAACTCTAACGATTGATTAACCATTTAATAAACCCTTTAGCAGCCCTCTAAATGCTAGTTATAAATATAAACTTAGTATCAGTTGTGACCCTCAGGGATAGATCCTGCAACCAAATCCACACAAATGTTTGGATTCAGATCCCAATCTACAATAGTTTGAATGAAAATGCTGGATCTAGCTTTCTTGTGTACCACACTCCCTCCAACCCAACTTTTGAGAATGGAAAGCCAAGTTCTGGATTCAATTTTACAGCATGAACCTAGCTCTAGGGAAGTAAATGAAAGATGTTCTTATGGTGTTTTCCTGGCTACCAGGCTTCATGTCAATTTGGGTATTTGGGATATAACCTTGGCTCTATTTTCAATCACACAATTGCTCACAGATGTCTGTGTGTAGGATGTGGGATGCATCATAATGGACACTGTCTTTCCAAATAAGCTCATTCTGATATAAATATGTTACCAATTGTTCTCTCAATTACTTGGTGATGAACTGCATGGTCAGGGTTAGATAACTACCCACTCAGTGGAGGCAGGAGATAATTGGAAAGCGAATTAAAAAAGAATTGCTAATCTCTCTGAAGTATATGCTTTAATATCTACTGTAAAAATGAAAATAGGCACCTTTCTGGATCAGTGGATGCTGCATCCTCTAGCCATGCATACAGTCCTAGAAGACTTCCAGAATTAAGGTCCAATATTGTCAATCATTGACTGAGTGTAACTACTATAGATAGATACTTTCTAATACCTGTGGGGAGAGTACACCATTTTAGAGAACATTGAGTAGCTTGATTCTAATAGTCTGGTTTTTTTCAGGTGTCTTAAAAGGTTATATGGACACTGTAAACATGATTTATTAGGGGAAAAACATAGTCCATACAATTTTTAAATCTATATTTTGTATCCATTATAAATTCTGAAAATAAAGCAATGGAAATGCTTTTTTCTTTCTTTTTTTTTGTTTTTTTTTTGTTTTAAACCAGAGGGAAAATCTGAATTGAAAAGATGTAGCAGAATTAGAGGGGGCTCAGAGACAATGAGAAAAGAGTGGGATTGCTTAATTTACAGGATATTAATAAGAGGAGGCATAAATTATACAGTATAATGAATGGCACAGAGAAGGTTGATCAAGGACTTCTGTTAGCCTTATAATGAAAGAATAAGATGACAAATACAAAGCTGATTAAGGAAATAGTTTTTAACACAACTTACCCTGTGGAACTCATTGCCACATGAGATCAACAAGGCTAAGAACTTTGCAGGATTCAAAAAACAATTGGTCAAAAAAGGATACCAAAAATAATGAGTTATAATAGTTACATGTTTAATTTGAAAATAATTTTGGAAGGGATTAAACCTGCATGCTTCACAACATAAACCGGCCTCTAACAAATGGTTTTTAAGAGAAAATTTTACCTGGGGGAAGGTTATCCCATAATTGCCTAGTGTAGAGGTTATTCACTTTCCTCAAAAGCATCTGGTACTGACCACTGTCCAGGATAATGGATTAGAAAGCTCCCTCTTCTAATTTAGTATAGCAATTCCTATGTTCCTAAATATAAACGGGTATTTCCATAGAATACTAGATCAAACATTTATCTTAGGAGTTTTAGATATCCACATATCTATCTTCGCATTAGGAAGTGTCTTGTTGAAGCATTATGCCCACATTTCTCACAGCTATTGAATGCCAGCCAAAAAAAAAAAAATCACGAGATGAACCAACATTTGTGAGTAGATAGCATTGCTGGCATTCTTGCTGATTTGAAAAAGCTATCTCAGTAGCCTTTGACTTTCGAGACCTGGTCTACACTAGAAAATTACTTTGGCTTAACTACGTTGTGTAGGAGTGTGAAAAATCCACACCCCTGGATGGCATAGTTAAACCGACCTAAGTCCCCGTGTAGACAGCATTAAGGTGACGGAAGAATTCTTCTGTTGACCTAGCTACCAACTCTTGGGGAGTTGGATTTCCTATGGTGATGGGAGAACCCCTCCCGTCAGCATAGGTAGTGTCTACACTGAAGTGCTTCTGTAGCCCTTCACGTGTAGAGAAGCCCCCAGTCTCTGGACATTTTAATCGGAAGTGGTTGCACGGCCCAAGGTGGAATAGTCCAGGGGACAAAAAGAAATTACCAATGTACTTTGCACATTGAGATGATATACACATACTGATAGTCATCCAATCTATCTTCTGACAAATACAACATTTAAAGATATTTCTGGTGACTGATTCTATTAGTATTGTACTACAATATCTCTAACAAAACTTAAACATATTATACTTGTCATAAATATAAAGGGAAGGGTAAACCCCTTTGAAATCCCTCCTGGCCAGGGGAAAGCTCCTCTCACCTGTAAAGGGTTAAGAAGCTAAAGGTAACCTCGCTGGCACCTGACCAAAATGACCAATGAGGAGACAAGATACTTTCAAAAGCTGGGAGGAGGGAGAGAAACAAAGGGGTCTGTGTCTGTCTGTATGCTGCTCTTGCCAGAGACAGAACAAGAATGGAGTCTTAGAACTTTTAGTAAGTAATCTAGCTAGGTATGTGTTAGATTATGATTCCTTTAAATGGCTGAGAAAAGCATTGTGCTGAATAGAATAACTATTTCTGTCTGTGCATCTTTTTTGTAACTTAAGGTTTTGCCTAGAGGGGTTCTCTATGTTTTTGAATCTAATTACCCTGTAAGATATCTACCATCCTGATTTTACAGGGGGGATTTCTTTATTTCTATTTACTTCTATTTTTTATTAAAAGTCTTCTTGTAAAAACTGAATGCTTTTTCATTGTTCTCAGATCCAAGGGTTTGGGTCTGTGGTCACCTATGCAAATTGGTGAGGCTTTTTATCCAACATTTCCCAGGAAAGGGGGGGTGCAAGTGTTGGGAGGATTGTTCATTGTTCTTAAGATCCAAGGGTCTGGGTCTGTAGTCACCTAGGCAAATTGGTGAGGCTTTTTACCAAACCTTGCCCAGGAAGTGGGGTGCAAGGTTTTGGGAAGTATTTTGGGGGGAAAGACGCATCCAAACAGCTCTTCCCCAGTAACCAGTATTAGTTTGGTGGTGGTAGCGGCCATTCCAAGGATAACGGGTGTAGTATTTTGTACCTTGGGGAAGTTTTGACCTAAGCTGGTAAAGATAAGCTTAGGGGTTTTTTTCATGCAGGTCCCCACATCTGTACCCTAGAGTTCAGAGTGGGGGAGGAACCTTGACAATACTGAATCAATAAGTGATTCAAAATGTTTCTAGCCTGCATTGTACTACAAATCTAACTTCTTTCAATAGGACACACAATCCAAGGAAGATACATTTTGATGGGCATAAGAGTGGCTGAGTTTTCCAGTTTTCAGTAGCTCATGTTCAACATGGAGCAGCACCTACAAAAAAAAAAAATACCCTCAAGCATCTTATTTGTTTAAGTGGGATAGAAAGTGCTGCTGTACATTGAGAGAGTGGGACATCTGGCTAAGCTGTCCCAAAAATCTTTAGTCAGAAGAGCTTTTTTACCCACCAAGGCTTTTTTCCTTGATCATGCAAGCAATGGTTTTCCTGACCCACAAATATTTTCAAAAACTGTCCCACTCCATATCCGCATCAGGATGAAACTAGAAACCTTTCCATTTTTGTCACAAAATAAAACCAACACACACAGAGTCCAATCTGAGTCTAGTCAATAATACCAAATGGCCTGGTGGTGAGAGCACTCACACACGTGATGTGGGAGGCTCAAATTCCTGCTCTGCCTGGTTTGGAGCAGAGACTTGAATCTGGGTTCCCACATCCATGCTGTAACCACTGGGCTAATGGCTATTCTGGGGACAGGTGGTCACACACACACTTGAGAAACCTTTCTAATGATATGAACTGAACATGGCACACAGTAAATGGATTAAAAACTGGCTAACTGATAGGTCTCACAATGTAATTGTAAATGGGGAACTACTGAGTGGTTGTGTTTCCAGTGGGTTCCCACAGGGATTAGTTCTTGGCCCAGCGTTGTTTAACATTTTTCTCAATGTCCGGTCAGAAAACATAAAATAATCACAGATAAAGTTTGCAGATGACACAAAAAATGGGGGAAGTGGTAAATCATGAAGAGGACAGGTCACTGAGTCAGAGGGATCTGGATTACTTGGTAAACTGCTTGAAAACAAACAATATGCATTTCAATATGAGTAAAGGTATACATCTAGAAATAAAGAATGTAGGTCATACTTATAGCATAGAGGATTCTATCCGAAAAAGATTTGTGGCTCATGGTGTACGAGAGCTCCCAATGCGACACTGTGGCCAAAAGAGCTAATGCAATCCTTGGATGAACAAACAGAGGAATCTCAAGTAGGAGCAGAAAGGTTATTTACCTCTATATTTGACAGTGGTGCAACTACTGCTGGAATAGCATGCCCAGTTCTGATGCCCACAATTTTAAGAAAGATGTTGATAAATTAGAGAGGGTTCGGAGAAGAGCCACAGGAATGATGAGGAAACTTGCCTTATACTGATAGACTAAAAGAGCTTAATCTATTTATCTTAACAAAGAGAAGCTTAAGGGGTGACTTGATTACAGTCTGTAAGTATCTATGAGGGGAACAAATATTTAATAACAGGCTCTTCAGTCTAGCAGAGAAAGGTATATTGGGACAGTTCCATCCTTATGAAGCATTACTAGTACCCTGGGGAAAAGGACAAAGAGGGATCTTGAGGAGTCCTCAGGGACCCTTTTAAAATCTCGGCCTGTTGTCCTGTCCTGGACCCAGGACTTCAGCCTTGAGAACTTCCCCATCTCTAACTCTAGTGTAAACTACAGAATAACAAGTCAGACTCCCCATCTGCTTCAGAAGTAGGGGAGGAAATCCCCCTTCCACAGCAGTGTGTCATCTGCCGGTGATATTCACTAGTACACAGGGCAGATACAAATAGCCTGGCTGGAATTTTGGGATTTTTCTGACCATTAATATCATTCGTGAGTGCCCTAAATGGTTCCACACTGTCATCTAAAAGGGACACATTGTAAATAGGCTGAAGGTAGGGCCTATTGCACGGGTCTAAGTATCCCCTTTGCACTGGGCATCCTGCCTGATCTAACAGATGAGGCTTGTTTTCCACTTGGAGTTTTTCCAAAGGACTAAAATTGTGGTGCTTTCTATTTTTCCTTCCTTAGTTTGTGGTGATAGTCAGTATTATAAACTTCAAACCTCTGACCTATGATGACTATACCTTCCCTTTCTGGGCAAATCGCATTGGCTGGGGAATAGCATTGTCTTCAATGATCCTTGTGCCTGCCTACATTATCTATAAATTTCTGAACGTGCGTGGGACCTTTAAAGAAGTAAGTGGAGTGCTAATAAAATGTCATGAAATGTTATGATGAAATGAATGTACTGGATTTGAGCTAACAGTTTGCTTCTCTAGCTCCCTAGACACATTCCTCGTTATGTGACCTTTCAGATCCAGCTTTCTAACTGGTTGGAATTACAAGCTGGATTTAATACACCCTATTCCAGTTTCTAGACAGAAATTAGTCTGCCAGAATGCCCCATTATAGTTCATAAAAGCATATTTTTTTGATTTATGCACATTTTGAAGTTGAATTAATAGATTTTTCTCAACTGTAGCAACATATATAAATGGATGCCTTCAAATACAGCATCCAGAATAAAGAGTGGACCCATTCCAGTTGCTTTCCCTAGCCATCAATTTGGCCCATGATTCACAACAGGAGTGCTGTGCATCTCTGAAAATCTGGGCACTTCATGAGGTGATTAAAAGAGATTAGGCCTTTCATCTGAAAATATGGTTCCAAATGTTTATTGTTGATATAGTTGATATTACAAAA